TGATGTAAAGAAAGATTATCTAAGTTTCCTGTTTCAATCTTTGACAGAAGCACTTGTGAAGATTTGGAACGTCCACTACCGAAGGCATTCTAGCCAAATTTTCTAAAGTTTAGAAACATCTAGAAACGTTGCAAAACTTTTGAGTGTAGTTAAGAAATTTAACAGTTGTTGTTTATATATCTATTCGTTGTAACTGGTCGTGTAATCGACCGTTCTTGTTCTTATATTTGCAGAAATCCTTAACAAAATATCTATAAGAACACAATTTTGATGTGAGTTGGATTTTCACTGCCTCGGATTTCCAATCACATACAAAATATTACTCTGTTGTATTTTGTAATATAAATTCTAACTATCCATAGGAATCACTGTCAATTCGTAGCTGACATAAAAGTGTTCGTAATCGTGGCCGACATGAAATTAATAGAGAGTCGTAACATAATAAGGTAGCATGGGTCCATGAGAGTAGTAATACATAGATGGTTTAGTGTATAACACTCGATCCCAGTATTATCAACATTGTAACTTCACTTTGAAAAACTACATGATTCAAAAGTGTGATCTGAGGGCCGTTACCTCCAAATCAGTTGAAGCGTCGTAAAACAATCGTTTAAACTCAAAGCAACGTTCAAGTAGTTTTGCTCGGCCGGAGCGTTTTACGCATTTACTTGGAGAATTGAGCAGGATAAAGCTCGCTAGTTATGTCATTTCGTCTGACATTTCTACCTCTCGGACCTGATTGCCTGTTCACTCTGCAATTTTGTCAAATAACAGAAACAGATTGCAGACTCCGCATAGCAAGGACGACGTAGTTTAGCCAAGGACGAACGACGAACGTCAAAAGACAAACCACAAAATTGACGTGGTCCTTCGTACAGAGGCTTTCACTCAGCAAAACACGATCTTCAGATCTTCAGATCCGCGTTTCTTCCAGTCTTACAATCATTATCTTTCGACATCGGCGATTAAGTGTTGACTGGTAACAATATAATAAACTTGAGTTTTGTCAAAATCAAGAAATATATACAAATAAATATATTTTAACATCTCCCCTTATGGATTATCTTTTTATTATACTAACTGTAAAACAATGACGAAAAATAAACGAATAGTTGTCTATGTACTGACGTACTGTTATTTGTATGAACTTCAGGCTCGCGTAGAAAAACTATCATATAACAAGATTAAAACATCAGCACACTAATCTTCACCGGACATGCAACACACATCAAATTAAGATTAAGATTAAGATTTCTTTAATGATGCGTATTCTACTTGGCCAATGCTTCAAACTTAGCAGCAAGACGCTAGCGCGAGCAATGTAGCCTACATTACGTCACCGCCCAATAAGTTTGGTGTTCCTTGAAAGCATTCTCAGCAACGCAACACAACCATTAATAAAACAGCAGTTTACACTGGATTTGATAACGAAAATAACGCAACACCTTCAAGAGAAGATTCAACTCATATGAGATAGCCGCCAATATTGGAGAATGGCGGTCATTTTTGAAATGAGGAAATCACATTTTTTATGTCATAAGAAAATAGTTGACGTTTACCATTTGTTTATGTTTTCTTTAAATCTAATAGTGGAATTCTATTGAGTTGTTACCCTGTATATATGTACATTAGTTTGATTCAAAAAATGAATCTACGATATAACGGGCATTTCAAAATACTCCGTTACAGTGAGGAGAGCAAAAAGCTTTCTGCTAAAAGGGAGGCCGTAGCACGTAGGCAGACATTTATTTAAGTTTTATGAAACCCAAGAAACATTTTAAACACACTAGGGTCTAAATATTTTACACGAATTTAATTGTAACGTTTGACTTTACAAAATCCCAATAGGCTACCAAAAAAAAATCTTAAAAGAATCATTTTATTGTGACAACTCCCGTCCGTCGTATGTCCTGCTGGATTACTGTTTTCGTCACCCAGGTTAACTGTATAAACAAACAAATAGCCTACTTTGGCAGAACAATTTTGTAAATTTGAATCCTTCCTTGTTTTACCATTAAATTAGTAGACACTACTCTTTTAATCTATGGTTTTACGCAGAAATTCACGAACATTAAAGTTACTACACGTCTCAAGAATTTAGTAAACACCCTTTGTCCAACGCCACCGTCTAAACCTTTGTTGGTCAATTACCATGTTTGGGCTGATGACGGTAATTAGATCTAATTCCCAGGCGCCGAGACACAATGTTAATTACTTCGTTGAGACCTTGGCGACATACCCCAGTGGTCAGACGGCTGACCGCAGGCTAGCCGTAGCCACAAGTATCAATTACGCCCTCGTACACGATCAAACAAATACTTCTTGGAATCCCGAAGTTTCCAAATAGATCATATCATTACTTAGCTGTCACAGAGCCATAAGAGCCCGAAAATAGCACACTAACCTTGAATTTCTGTTTGAGATTTAGTGAAAATCGGTTCTTAACGAGTTTTAATTGAATCATCAAGTTGGGAATTCTAGTTAGTATGGCTATGGCACTTTCTTTTAGATTTTGTGGCGAAATTCGTCCGACTGAAATTGTTGAAGTTAACGTAATGGTCAATGAAGTTTAGTCGATATCGAGGACCTCTAAGGTCCAAATCACGTCATACAGGGATAAAACAGACATTTACCATCAATCAAATGTATTCTGTATAGTAGATATTAAGATTATACAAAACAGAAGATACCTTAGTCATATTTGTATTTTTGTAAATAGGATACATAAAGGTTTGCAGACGAAGCTCAAGTAGATAAATATAAATTCACAACCAATTGACCAAAACCTGCTTGCACCAATTCCCAAGGATGCTCGTATCGTCATAGCTGAAATTATGAATATTTCATATATTAACAATAAAGTGTAAAACTTCTACAATGAAAATGATAGTATCAGCAACTGAAAAGTTTATACATCCTGGCAACTAGTTTTCAGATACAAATCTGTTTTACAATTGTGAGGTTTATAGTGTTAAAACTGTAGTCAATACTGAACAACTTAAGAACGACGCCGACACGCCTTGGCAGAATATTAATGAAGGGCGAGTGTGAAATGAATACAGTGAATGTCACATAATTATAAGCGGGCGCTCTTCTTTCTGTGCTTAACACTGCGATTCTGGCATCCGATAATCGAGCATATATCGCATACTCATGTTTTTACAGTGAAGAAGCGCATTGAAATTAGTCAAGTGGGTTCGAAAGAGGTTGAACATGGTTGGAGGAGCACATATAAGTTCGATCCATTACTAAAAGTAAACAAACTATTCCTTTCTGTCCACACGTACATACTTTGGCTATTTGTTTACATTACTTTCATTTGCATAGGACGAATTTCAAGTGTGACGCCCCCTTCTAGAAAAAGGCCATAAATCCCAAAGACCCAAAAGGGGAACAAACTGGTCTAGTGGAAGAGCGTGGTTAAGTCCCGGAGGTCCCCGGTAAGCATCCCGCCAAGCGCCAGTGGTTCTAATCTCAGTGATAATTCCGCAACCCTCTTGGTCAAGCCTGAACGGTTCCACTCTGGAGCAAAATGTCCTAAGATGTGAAGGCGGGACATATACAATCAAATAAAGCCCAATGAGCAAGGACAGCCGGGCCTGTTTACAATGCAGGTCAAGCAGTGACAGTGTTGTGGGTGGGTCAGACCTTGATCCTGGACCTTCCCGTTACTTCTGGCCCAGCCGCTCAGCCGCCCAGTCGCTCATGTTCCAGTTTTTGCCGATCGCCCGTGACACTTACAAACGCGGACGCGTCGACGCATGATAAACTACGAGCTTCACTCTACCATAATATTGCTACAAACTTCAATACCAATATTTGACATTCGCCGTTATCGTTGACAACGGATAGGACAAGTCAATCCATTCATATGGTTTAGTTGTAGCCAGTGAATGAAAACGAACGTATTTAAATTGACCTACTGACAACAGAGTACGGCCTATGCTGATCTCCGTCGAATACAATTTGTTTTACCAAAACAATCTGAAAGAGCATCTTGTTAAAAACTGTAACAACTCTAAAGTCACATAAACTACAAGTTACAAAAACTAGAAGAAGAAATAGAATTTTAGACAGCATCACACTCTCTGAGCAGAATGTCTACTCCTATGGTGCTAGCTAGTCCACATAGACAGAAAGACATCCAAATGAATGTCTGTATCCAAATGAATTTCAAACACTTTTTGATCAAACAAGATAGATTTTCATGCGATTTTTAACACAATTTTCTTTACAAAATTGTGGTGATATTGTTTTATACGGAATCTAAACATCTAACTACGACATAAAAAAATGCTAATTTAGATGAATAATTAAAAATTAGTATTGGGGCCATTTAATTGCAGGAATAAAGACATATTACGATGTCAGTTTCTAAAAATTAATCTAATATTTTCTAGATTATTTTGACTATTTTTAATTGTCCTAAAATTGTTCTATTAAGACTAGTTGTATCCACGAGTGTTTAGTTATTTAATGTTGGAATTTTAAATCACCTTTGATAGATAATATAGTAAACAAATAGGACACACTGATAATACAGATGGGGTGTCTGGTCGGAGCCAAAAAACAAACCACGCCAACTGAGATTCAGGGGTACTTATAAATTAGAATGCAAACATTTAAAGCAGGACAAAATTGTTGAATGATATGATAATCAAGTCTTCAAGCAACGTAATTTTAATTGCCATATTAGACGATGCTGCAAAAACTAATACAACTCTTTACACGAACTCCACACTATATCCTACAATTATTATAAAACGCAAAACTACTGTGAGAAAAATCAAATGGAGCTATGAAAAGTGATATTTCTACACCATGCTACAACATCTACGTGTGCGACTCACCATCTCCTTCCTGAGGATCGCCAGCTGGGTGTCCAGGGTAGTCATCTTCCTCTGGGGTAACTGTTTCTTGGGCTCACTAGGAGGCGGCGGCGGCGGTGTGGAAGGTATCCTTAGCTGATGCGTCGTAGAACTTCTAGGAGAGTCTTGCACCACGGGGGTAGACACTTTAACACTGTCCATCAGGTTGATACCACTGAGGCTCTTAGGTAGTGGAGGAAGTCCTTGCAGTGAGGACATGCTGGGCCGCGGACGGGGAGGCGGACTGCCGCTGGAAGAAGAAGAGCCATCTAGAGTTATCTGACAACTAGAGTATTTTACAGGACGACCGCTCTCCTCCACCTCGTACCAAGCGGAATGTTTGATCCTCGGCGGTGACGGTTCCTTGTGGAAGTCCTGCACCAGGGTTTTGCCGTTGGTGATCAACAGCACCGTGGGTCTGCGATGGCCGTTTTCGTGCACGTGTTGGCCCAAGGCTTGGTGTCCGTTTTTGAAGTTGGGTCCTCCGTTTTTAGTGACGGATATCACTCCGTCCGGCGAAACCACTTTCGTCTTGGACTTGGCGATCGCTTCGTCCAAGATGTGTTTGTTGGGGCGCGGAGGCACGGGTGGCCGTGGACGGCTGTGTACGTCGCGGGGCATGAACATTGTGTAAACATAACCTACGTTACGAGCCGGCGCGACGTCAAACAAACACTGACGGAGCCGCTGCGCGTCACCCCCACCACCGCAGAGCCAACAGGTGGTGGTCGAGGATGGCGCGCGCGGCGGCAAATACTTGTACTACATCTCATATCAGCTGACTGCACTCTGCACTGCATTGCATCGTTATGACATTACAACAATACAGATGTAATTGTTTCTGTTTGGGAAGGTAACAACGAAAATTGCAATGTTTCGCGATGCAAAATGGTGTAATGTACTAAATCTATCTAGATATCTATAACTGAATGTTTCACGACAATTACTCAATTAACTGAATTAAATTTAGGGATTTCATTTATTTACTTTTTTACTGTAGTTCATTATTACTATGTTAGCTCTTGTGTTAATTTAGCCCCGGTTAAATAACTATTTTTATTTTAACATGAAAATAAAAAATGCAGGAAGATGCTATTACAGAAAACAAACATGTTCAGTACCTGCTCAAATTTATGCCACCCTGAAGCACTGAGCTCAAATAACTACATCACACATTTGTAGTTAAAAGTCCTAATTGGAGGAAGGCCAATAGATAATAGCTTCTTTGGGGGTTAAGCAATGAATGTACAACTCATCATCAGACAACTACTGTACAGATCAACCACAAAACACCACTCAAAAATTTTTCCAAGCCAAAAACACAAAAATTGTTATAGTATAAGAAGATTTAACGTTATATAATCTATGCAAAGTACGGAAACATAGAAACATAGTGACACACTTCTACTTTGAGAACTGGCTAAGCAACTGGAGAAAGCCTAAGTTCAGGAAGTTATGCAATACTTTTATCATCTTCAGGAAGCTAAGGCTAATGCCCTCTCACCTCTACAGATAATTCAGTGTCTTTAATAACTTAGCATAAATACCACATATGCTTTTGGTTATGTGTAAATAACTTGCACAGAACTTCATAATTTGTTCAATTGATGAACCATGAAATACAACAGAAAAGAGTGGCATTTCCATTGACTTTTGTTGGACCAGCGAGCTGAAGCCTGTTTATATAAAAAATAGCTGAGTTTAATGAGCCACCTAAATAATGTATAATGGCTAAAAGTCTATTTTCTCACTTAGTTTGTTACTGAGACAGTTGACAAGAATCAAGAGCTTTATTGTCGTTAACCTTTTACAAGGAATAGACATATAGTCAATAGGAATAAAAACTAAAACTATAAAAAATAGTGGGTTCTAAATTAAAAATAAATATTACCATTAGAAACTAAATAGGTACCCTGTTATAATAGTATCGATTTTTGATGAGCCACTCAAACATTTTAGACTGAAACCTATTAAAAGGAACCAGTTTTGCTGCCAGACCTAATTTATTAAAAAACTGTATGAGATTTATTTTATGGCAGTTCTCTGTTTTGGCCATATTTTGGCCAGGGATTTCAAGATTGGATTTGCCTCTTGTTATAATGCCTCTTGTAAGAGTGTATACTCTCTCTACAAGTGAATTGATGAAGATTAGCTTTAGTGTAGAGGAGTATATGAAAAATATACAAATTTACTACGGAAATAATTTTAAGGTTTATAAAAAGAAGTCAACAGCTATCCACAGGGTCAAAACCACAGATTGTTCATACTATAACTTTTCTTCAATAAAAGAATTTCATGGGTGTGGGGGGAGTGTCCCCAAAGTATAATCCTGTAAGAAGTATGCGATTGAAAAAAAAAACCAAAATAAGTCATCCGAAATATATTCATTACGAACAAAATCTCTGATTATTACACAATAATTTATTTGAAGAAAACCAATTTAGTGCTGATGTTATTGATTCATTTGAAATGAAATCAAGCTCATGGATATCCCTATGTGTTGCAATCAAAGTTGTATCATCAGCATATACAACAGTGTCTACATCAACATTCCTCGGCAGGTCTTATCGAGATTGAAAAAAAGAAAATTATGTGACAAAGGATGCTGTGGTTTACAATAAGTCATTCATCATTTTGATTTGGGTTCTTTTTGGACCATGGTGGATCTTCTTGAACCAGGAGAAAATGATAGGCTTATTAATTCTTGTTTTAAAATCCCATCAGGTTTATATTTCTGGACCTCTAGATCCAGATTTCCAGTATGCATGTGGCACACTACGGGCCCTTGAGATATTTGCGCCCTCCCCTCCGCCCCTTCATTGCCGCGTTATTTTTCTCTTTTCACTCCCAAACTAACCTCAAACCTATCCTAGGGCCTGGGCCCATTTTAAAGCGGGCCATGTCTAGGACTAAGAGTTTCAAGGTGGAGAACTAAAATAATAAATATTTATCTGTCTCCATTGTGAAAATAAAAAAGAAACGACAACGTTTACATTTGCTCTGGAAAGGGTAATTTGTAATTATTGGGTGTGAATTCTACTTCAGATTTTAAGAATATTTAGCTCTTCTCCAGGTAGAATATAACACCTTCTATACTCTATTTTTAAAAAGGTCATTTTAATTTATATGGCTACAATAACAAATTAATTTATATAAAAAAAATTGTTTTATTCATTATTTTTCTAGGAGCCCTCATGAACTCCCCCCCCCCCCTCCGTGTTTGAGAACCACTGACCTAGACAATATTGATTAGTTCAATATTAAAACAGCTAATCAGAAATTTCAAAGTACATTAGCATTATAGATGTTCACCAAGACGAAATTGTGGAATCTTTATTCAGGATTTCCGTGGATTATATTTGGATCAATGATGCAAGGTTTGATAAGTTGCAAAACAGAGTTCTATGGAATTTGTTGAAATATGAAAAATAGTTTTTGGACTAACATAAACTTTGCTAAAATTTATTTCTTATCACATGGGGGGGAGTAAAATGGAAGAATGATGCAGGCTGGGTATCCCTTGTCCGTGATAATAAGTATTAGCTTGAGATTTCCGTACCTCTGTTTTGTATAAATAAACCATTTGTTTCACTATTAAGTACGGGGATACCGAGCTTTGCTTGTGGCTCGGAATGAATTAAACATTTATTAGATAAATAAATTGAAAAAAAATATGTGAACACATTTGAGATGATTCAATTTAACATTTTAATACACATTAAAAACCATTGAATCCATATAATGTTTTACGATTTAACTTCCATGTCGATGATGGTAGTATGGAGGAGCCTTTGAATGATTGATCAAAACTACTTTCCATACTACGTTACGGGTGTGAGTAGGATTCGTTAACGGTAAGACCATTTTCAAGCCGTTTCGATTCTTAACTCAGGAGTAGGCCACGTAAAGCATACAATGCATGAAAATCCCGGTGAGCAGGATCACACCGACGGATTTCAGTGTTTGACCTCGGCTCTTGTGTATGGTTGTTGCGACTGAATGACAAACGGGAAACTGATGGAGCAGAATTGTATTTCCAAAATGGGATTTGCTTGAATATAAGGTGATCCGTGGAATTTGAAGAAATATCATTAAAAGGAGCATGGATAGCGCTGTACTTCAGATCCTCGAATTGTCTGCTTGCAGTTTGGGTGCCTAAAGCAATTTCAATAATATCTCTCATGCACTGACATGGCGACTGTATAGGTTTGAGGAATTCCAGTGCGCTTTCAAACATCGAGCAAAGATTCTTTGAAGCTCCTGCTCAAGATCATCACCATTTTATTGTTGTACACCATTTAACTCGGCAATAAGATCCTAAATTATTATTTCTCTACTTTTATTCTTCAATGTGTGACTTGGCCAAGGTTCTGAGACATTTGGTGAATTTATGAGGTGGTTGGAGTTGGAACTGATTCAGTTGTAGATGAAAAGTTAAAATTTGTTTCCTGACGATTGATTATATAGCTTCTCTTGCTTTCAAAGCCTTGTGACCAACTCCAATCAATTTTTTGTAGCCAAACACTCATATTAAACAAAAAAATCAAATATCCTCGGACGAAAAAAAAGTTAGCCCATACACACGCTTGTTTAGAGTTTAGGATAAATAACCAAATTATATTACAAAACAAAACAAAAAACATAGTGTATCAATAACTCGTAAGGTCCACATCAAATCATAATGCAGATTGGCAACAATGGAGGATGATTTTAATGTAAACTTTCACAGATATACATGACATCAGTGAAACTAAAAAATACAGAAAAAAATCATTGGTATTGCAGGTTAATCTGAAGATTGTATTTAGTCTTAAAAGTTGGGTCTTACCCAATTATAATTATTAAAATATGTTTATTGTTTTCTGTCATTAAATAAAATTTAAGTTATTAATGCAGCGTCTAACCTTAAAATATATGTTGGTGAAAATACATATCCTGCACTTATTTTCTAAGCAAAAAAAAAAAAAAAAACATTTCTTGACTAATTTATTTTTTTCTAAATTAAAATCTTACCTCTTGAAGAAGCTAGGCCTACCATATTTATCAGAAGCATATGACAAAACTAAATACTTAAGTTAAGAACGGATTAAGCCTACAATTATTAGACTGAAACAAACAAACGGAATAAACAAAACAACCTTGAGATTGAATCACTAAATACACCACCTAAGTAGAACACCAACCACCATCAGCAGTGTAGCCAATCACACAATTTGTAGCATACAAATTCCCTATTGCTGTCACATCACT